CCCGCATGGTGTGGTGGTGAACGCGTTACTCCCCGGAAAGGATAATAGCGCGTTCGTTCCCTACCATAGACACCTGCGGTTCAGAGTTTTGCAAATATCTCAGCAACGTTGTGGTTCTAAAATTATCCATCAGAAGTAAAAAATACTTTTACCCACCTCTTACCGAAAAATTAGGTCACTTGAAGTTAGCCAAGTCTTTTGGGCAAGTCAGTTTGGTGTCCAGAAGTTAGGAAGTTAGGTGTACTTTTTTGTTTTGTTTAGCACTTCATTTATTACCGAAAGTGACCGGATCTCTGTACTTTATTTTACAATATCCTTCTACATACCTGAGTGTAGAAATGCCGTGGATTTGTGAATCGTTTGTGCGATATCAGTGAGCCGTTTAGGTCCATGATAAACAGCGTACATGGCAGACATATTGGCTAGAAGAGCCTACAAGACTATCGTGGTGCTTGAAATACGGACGACCAAAATCTTCGACTATTATATTGTTTAGACGATAACGGAGTTCGACAGCATAAATTACAATAATTTTATGACAGAAGAATGAAGTCCTTGAAAACGGAACGGTATGATGCAAGCATTTGAGCTTAACTGGTGTTGAACAACAAGGTGAAATCCACTAATCCTGTTAAAATATAGTTCCAACCTGAGCTGTACAAATATTACTTGTAGCTTTGTCACGGCGGATATGTTGCTCACGAGTTTGGAGTGCTAGGCGTAGTGCTTTTTCGCCGTTTGAACCCCTAAAAAATTTTACAAGTGCACAAAAAACTATTTCCTTCTCAGTGTGTTCTCCTGAGATCATTAGTCACAACGACTACAAGAATATATGCCTAAACTAAACGCTGTAAGTATCGTCCAACTACTCTACCAAAGGAATTTACACAATCGGCCTCATCAAACTAACCTCACAAAGTCCATTTTATCTAGTTGTACCAATGAATAAACTAACTATAGTATTTCACTTACGAGAGTATAATTTTTCAATCCATAAAAAACCGGCTAAGACAGGTAAGTAGTCTTCCAAAATCTTCTGATCATTTCATCAACAAGCACGCTTCTTTGAGTGAAAAAATACTTTCAAAGAATTTTTATATGGTCAGACACCACAAAGGTTCTGTCGCTGAATGTTGGTTGACTGTCCATGGAATCATGGAATAGGTTCATTAGCGCGTTCCCAGCTCTTCAACGTACAGACGGTCGCCGGCTTTGTGGATTAGATGGAGCTCATCGCAAGCAATCGTTTTACAAAATCTCCGATTCTGGAGAGATGGTAGACTTGGTTGGCCTGGAGTGGATTCGAACCTGAGACCATTTGCATAATACTATGAGACAACTCCAATCGTTACGTTTTCCGCGCCAATTTTTAAGATATTAAAGCATAAACAGGCATGATTGATTTGACTCGATCTCATATATACCAATGCCATACCTGGTTACACCGATGATCCTACCAGGCATCATTCGACCAAGCATATTTTTGGAGTCCTTCGCAACAGCCATGAAACCGGCGTATGGTCCTCCATAACCCAGAGGAACACCAAATCTGTGAAAAATCATCTATAGCAGCAACAGTACTTGAGGTAGCTTTAACGATTTACTAAAAAGAGTTCAACGACGTTTTTCCAAAACAACTGCTATTATTATTATTATTATTACTATTATTATCGCTATTAATATCATTACTATACTACTGTTATCATTGTTATTACTGTTACTATCATTACTAAAGATAAAAAGCTCTCGGCGTTGATCAATCCCTGAGGAATGGGCAATGCATCCGACTTCATTAAGTAACAAGCTGGCGACCTGCAGGCATGGAAGGCTTGGTGAGCTTGGAGCGCAGAATAGAACCCGGAAGTATAGCAGGACACCTCTAAGCACTGCGCTACACACTCCCTTTAGTTATTATTATTATTATTATTATTATTATTACTATTATTATTGTTATTATCATATTAATTATTATCACTATTACTGTCATTTATTACTGATAGTCGTAAATATTTCATTATTATTTATTATTATCATTATTACTACTATTATTATTACTAGCCTATTCACTAATTTGTGCTATCCTTTAAAACATTTGACACCGCAAGAATACATATGGCCCATATAATGAGATAATAATAAGTGTTTTCATGTTGAGCTCTATTGATTGGAACTAAAAATTGTAGAACTTAAAGACCTTTGCACACCACCTATAGGTTCTTTTCTTCTATTAAGATTAAGTCGTGATTTTCCATAGTCCATAAAACCTACTTCTTCCTCTTTTTACCAAAGCTCGCATTTAAAACACCAGAAGAATTAAAAAACAGGGAAGCTTTCGCACAACAAGGCATGGTGGTTTACTAAAAGTCTCCAAACTATTCAAACTCCTTGAATTCTCTAGTGATCAAGCAATTATCAGCTTCCGAAAGGCCAACATAGTCAAAAATTTGTTTAAAAGTCTACCTCTGTGCGGATCCCACCGCGATATCCGCTCCAAGATCTCCAGGAGATTTTAAAAGTGTTAAAGCCATCAGGTCACAAACCAATACAACAAGTGCCTGAAGACTTTGTAAATCATTTCTTTTCAAAGTTATTTACTATGCGGCAGACTGACCCCATTCTTATGAGCCACAGAGATTAGCTCGTCCAAACAACGGATTCGTCCTTCAGTGTCCGGATACTGTATGACCACAGCTGCAGTTTCTCCATCGACGTTGTACGAATCAAAGTTGAGATCATCCAAAGTAATACCCAAAGGACTAAATTAGATTCTCCTTCTTTACCCTTACCTCTAATAACAAATATTTCACAAACGTATAAAACTACTTACCCACTACGTGTTTTTGTTACGCCCAAGTTTTGTGGGTGTAGAAAAGAATCCAGAAGAACCTAGAACGAAAGGTCACCGTGCACATCGTGCAAAAACACGCGCAACAGCAACTAATAAAGTAGATTTTAACAAATAAAAGTATAAAAAGAAAAACAGAAAAAAGAAAGAGTTAATCAATCCATTAAGAGCGCACTTTGCATAATTTACCATCACAGTGGCTTTCGAGGACTTCCTAATATAACTAATCAGCGTTGCCATCTTTCTAGAACAGGAACGGTAACAATTTGCCAGCCCTAGAAGCAGCAAGGCTTCATTCTCCCAAAGCAAGGGATGTAATCAGCGACCACGTGTATATAACGGGTACCACTTATCACTATGTCATTCGCGATACCAAGACAATGATGGATCAGTATTGATTCAAAATAAGCATGATATTTCAAGCATGAAGGAAGACCCTTAGTAAAAAGCTGGATAAATCCATATTATGTAAGCCCATAACTTCGTTGTAATGCAGGAGCTATGAATGCTTCAAAGGAAGGAGGTATTTCAAAGCCATGGTTCAAAAAGCATAATAGAAAGTTTCTTATCCTGCTTAGGTCATTAGTTGTCCTGTTCAATAGTTGCGAAATAAAACTCAGAACGTCGTAAGGGGAGCAACTCTTTAACCATCTTTGTGTTTAATTCAAAAGACATAGGTAGCCATTAGTAATAAGTGACAAGACAATGTAACACTAGCTATACTACTTTCTCGTACTATCCAGTGTTTGTGTAACTCAGTGGCTAGAGCTGTGCCGCAATCCACACATAGTTCGTGCTTCGACCAATGCCCCAGAAAACCAAGCCCTCCATACTTCCGCCACACGCCTATTACTATCAGAGGCTTGCCTAGTAGGCTAAAACCACTGACTTGATACTTCGATGTAAACCTGCAAGTCTATGCATAGGCAAAATATGCACTAAATCACTTATACGATGCCATGAAAGTCAAATTCAATGTGCATTCTTAAAGGATGCTGATTGACTCCGGGTTTTACCCTCTGTTCTTCACTGAGCAGCATATATAGTAAAACTCAAACTTTCCTCTCCTTTTTAGATTAAAATGAACTCCAAGTCAAATTTTTTTCAACTTGTCACGTAATCTGTCGTGTAAAGACGATTTTTTTATCCTAAGAACTCGTGTATGTTTAACCTTGCTCCTCTTCGTGGCTCTGACAGCCAGCGCTGCAGCTTCCGCTACCGCCGTAGCTTCGTCCAGCAACGAAGCGTTCGTCGTTGGAAGGCCAGTCAAATCGGCGACCTAAGCAAAGAGAAGCATTCATAACGAACGATGATCTCTGAGTTCCTCAAGTTGTGTTTGGCCAACCATTGTTTGGAAATTAAGCAATGATTCCAGGCGACCTTGAGAGATTTCTGCTTGGTAAGGGGTGTATTGCGAGATCCTAAATAATTGAACTGGACATAACGAATAGAAAAATTAGCAAAATTATTCCTATGAGAATAAAAAAATCGCCTTTATAAGCTTAATCCACAAATGCCAGTGACTGCCTTCACGGTGAACAAGTGGATGAGACAAAGTAGAAATATCTTAGAATTCCGGGTAGAATCTATTTAACCAGTATCAATGAGATTCATAAGGAAGACGAAGTCGTCAGCTAACAGCTGAATCCACGCGCGAAGCTAAAGACTTTAGTAAGCAGACGGATGCGAGACGAGCCGAAAGTTGGATCATATAAACGGAAGAAATAGGAATTTCGTATACGGTGAACTATTATTACTATCACTATTACTATTACTAGTAACCCTCCAATCCGTAATTATCCACTAAGAGCTTGTCCATTGTTAATATGAGAGTTCCACATAGTCAAGCAACGTACGAACCTCAATTCACAAAAGATTATATGAGTTTGGATTGATATAATCCTGGTGTACAATCACAGCGATGCTGAAATACTCGCAAAACTTGGACCCCGTCCCAGATCTAACCACGATTACTCTTTTCTAGATCATAGCCTGCCGTGAAAATTACAGTAGACAGAAAATGAACGGTCAACATTGTGATTTCGACTACAGCCTCAGCTTAACTGGGTTCAATGCTGATTTGTGCTCTCCTGATCAATTCCGCTGACGGGTGATTGCTGATGGCAGCGATAGGTAGAAAGCTGGTTGAGAGACACGCAAGCCAAGGAGCTCCGTGGTACAATGTGTAATGCGCGTGTTCCCGGAAAGGGTAGTCGTGGTTCGATCTAGCCCGGCATCCAAGTTTTGCGAATATCTCAGCATCGTTGTGATTGTATCTCACGTCACAATTTGCCGTGTAAATTATAGAAGGATAAAGAATAAAGCTCTCAGCGCTGATCAATCCCTAAGGGATGCGCCATGTATTCGACTTCATTAAGCATCGTTCGAGGTTAATGCATAACTGGTCTTTACAATGACTCGCGGTGGCCCACCGATGTATCGAGCCAGTGCTGCTATCCTTCTAGACAAGTCAGGTACTAATTTACTCACCCCGGAGGGATGGAAGGTTTGGTGCACCACGGGCGCGGGGATCGATTCCATGTATATGTCGCAGTGGCGTCATCAGCCACTGTAAAACTATGGTAGGCAGGAAATAAAAGATTAACATAGTCCTAACGTTTCCTTTAAGTGGGTCTAAATTTTACTCACCAACCAATATTCTCTGTGATATTTCGAACAATAACAGCCGGCACAATAGTGTCATAGTAACCCATGCCAATATATGAGCGAAACACCTCAAAACGAAAATTTTTGATAAAGGGAGACTGATTACAGAAATCCAATTAGATATTTTCAACTTTTATTTGCTGCCTATTGTTTTTATCTCACAACAGACTACTATGTTCTGGAAAACTACAAAGATTCTGAGATTATAAGCAAAACTCCGAGCCTCAGATGGGCTCCGAAGCCGCGATTATCCTTTCTGTGGATATCATGGTTCATTCCCGTTAACGGGTGATAACAGAGAGCACCGTTAAAATAGAAAAAACTACCTGAGAGAAGGGAAAAGTAAAGACCTCGGTTGATGTGCTCAATAGCACGTAAGACCCCAGAAAGGGTTATCGCGAGTTCAAAGCCCATCTAAGGCTCCGAGTTTTGTTCACATCGCAGCATCCTTGTTCTTGTGGTCAGTATAGTTATTCCCATGGGGTTATTCCAACAGTCAGGCAAAACACTTGCGACAAGCTTCTTATTAAGTGATAAGTAAACTGTACCTTGTTCATTTCCGAGATTTTTCTCAGCTCTCGAAGCATACTGTGCTCGTCGATTGGTTCGGGTAGGTCTAAAATAATCAAAATAGTAATCGTCCTGCAAACTAACGATCAGCATTTCTCGTCTTTCATTGACTTGAAAAACGTTGGAGAGAACAGAGCAAATAGTATAAAACTTCTTACTTATGATGGTAAAGGAAGCAGAGCAAACCTAATTCCTTCTCTAGTTTGATCTGATTTGGTACATTCTTGTTAGTGAGTTCATCGAGTGTCTGAACAAAAACAAATCTGTCACAATAATCTCCCTTTTTAATTTAAAAAAATATTTCTTGCTACACCACTGATTACAAAGTGCTTTAACCATTTATCGCACTGTGAATTTAAAATGGATCGAATGTCAAGCTATGGCCATCTATAGTGTCTTTCCCATGGACTAACAACTGGTGAAAACACACTCGACAAATGTGTACTTCCATTTGTTTCTTCACGGAGTTCGAAAATGTTCCCTTTACTTGTAACTTGTATGTCTTACTGTAAAACCGAGAAAGTCGAGCATCTGCTGTCGTTCGAGAGGACTCGGACCGATGTGCCGATCGGCAAACGCCTCACAGCGCACCGTTCTTGCCGAGATTCTCACCGATCCGCGTAGAACCCTCAATGCGGACGGGACAGTACCGAGCACAGAACGCTGCATGTCTAACCTGTAATGAAGTACGAACAGTTCGGAAAACAGACAAATCAGCCAAATTCTTGTGAAACGAGAGTCAACAGCATATTCATTCAGTTAACACGCAACTGACCAGCATGCATTGGTAGCAATGCATAGTGAAAACAATAAAATTTTTAAGCAACTTTAGTTGAAGCGGCTACTCACTGATCGAAATCTTGTATCATTTCAAGTTAAACATTGATACATGGACGTCAAAGCCCTTGTTGGCGTTCATACTATCCGCCTACTGAAGTGATCATCCTGCTGATTAATCCAATCTGACTATCCATTTGTTATTTTTCCCCTGAAATCTTTCCACCTCATCGTGGATGTTGGATGCTCCTATATGTTCAATAGCGATAAGCAGCAAGGTATTTCCCTCAGCAGAGTGTCTTCTATTCGAATTACATCCGAAACACCCAGCGTAAAACAAAACAATGCTTGGGATCTGGGAACATAGTCATAAAATATGTGGATATGTGCAAATCCTCACTCACAAGCCCTACCACCTCCCTAACTCCGATGAATGAATGCGATGACGAGCTAAGAACACCTTAACGAAATAACTTGGGATTTTGGCGAAATTAACAAATAGCCCAACCAGCAATTAACTTATCTCAGTACCCAGCATGCTTAGCACTCCCGTCTTCTACGATGAGCTGTAAGATAACCATGGTCAAATCACCGATAGTGTCATCGAGAACGGACCAAAACAACGCGACTACGAAATGGCGCGGAGAATGGCTTTTCTTCTGCACCTACAACACCAGAACAGCCTCTTCAGACACCGATTCTCAGCCTTCCGGAGACGACTAATCACATGAAACTCCACGTGATTACTCCACAAAAAAACATGACGACAAACATATGCAATTTAAACGAAATAGGTACTTTATTAGTGAAGAGAAGACGCCGTCACGAAATATGAGGTAGGTTTCGTCGCACGCCCATCACTTATCTTCCACACCGACGAACCGAGCAATTTCTAATCAACAGCTCGTTTGACTGGTCTTAAGAAAATAAGACCAGAACACCGGAGGAATCTTCCGCCAGTCCTCGTAGACACACTGGCTAGGCTCTTCGCACGTTACCTGCCTGAATGCAAGGTCCCTACTCAGTGGAAGACCAGCAAGACCGTGTTACTGTTCAAGAAGAGTGACCTACGCGATATCGGCAACTATCGCCCAATCTGCTTGCTCTCTGTTGTTTACAAACTTTTCACTCGAGTCATCCTAAGCAGGATTGACAGAACACTGGACGAAGGACAGCCATGTGAGCCAGCAGGGTTTCCAAAAGGATTTAGTAAGATGGACCACATCCACACGATAACAAGGCTCATTGAAGTGCCGCGAGAGTGCAAAAGACCGCTCTGACTCACCTTCATCGATTCAATAAAGACGGCTTTGACTCAACTGAGATAGAAGTAGTCATGGAAGCCCTTGATAGTCAAGGAGTCCCTACTCAGTACATAAAGATTCTTCGTGAGCTGTACAAAAATTTGACAACCAAGATATCACCATTTTACAACGATAATAACATTGACGTCAAAAGAGGAGTTAGCCAAGGCGGAACCATCTCGCCAAAATTATTTACCGCCACCCTCCAGAACGTCATGCGAACACTGGAATTGGATAATATAGGAGTGAAATCGATGGTCGGCAGTTACACTAGCTTCGCTTTGCTGATGACATCGTCCTTATAACACCAAACATTAACCAAGCGTAACGTATGCTTGACGACTTTGATAAAGCCTGTGGAAGGATTGGTCTTCGACTAAATCTCACAAAAACGACGTTCATGGAGAACGAATTGGTTTCGCATGCGCTATTTACGCTCAAGGGAACGAATACCTCCGAATGCTCCAGTTATAACAATCCTGGTCAGGAAATCAATCTAATGAACGACCTAGCTCCAGAGCAGAAGGAAGCGAACAGCTTGGGAAGCTTTCGAGAGCATCGAGGATGTAGTGAAGAGAGCAAAGAACACCGGACTCCGTGCCCACCTTTTCGACTTAACGGTACTTTCTGCCCTAACGCATGAGTCTGAAACCTTGTCACTGCGTAAGCAGGGTGGAAAACCCCTTATCGTTATCGAAAGGACGATGCTAGGAGTATCCCGTTTCACATAAGTAAGGGATGAGATCCGAAGCTCCGAACTGCGTCAATGATCAAAAATCAAAGATGCCGTTCTGTACACCCAACAGTCGAAGAGAAGGTGGGCCGGACACGTAATGTGCATGAACGACAACCGATGGAAAAGAGCCGTTAGTGATGGATTCCTCGAGATGTCAAACGTACTGCAGGAAGACCACCGGCCCAATGGACAGAGTTCTTCACAAAGAGCCTTGAAGAAAGATATGATGCTCGACGAGTCCCTAGAGCGACCAGAACCCACTGGGCTAGTCTTGCACGCGACAGGGAAAAATGAAGATTTACTGTCGGCCGCTCGAGTCACTCGACTATAAACGGAACTACAAGTGATACAGGTGATGTGCCAAATCGGTGCAGCAGAAACAGGTAGTCCATCCTTTGGATCCTCCGTCGTCTCAGAGAAGCAAAGGTCGCTTTTGGTCCGTTATTAACCACCTATCCACCACCTGAGAACGTGCCCCATAGGCTCGGGAGTAACCAGCTCGGGATCCTTCAAATGAAGTGATCCGTGGCTTAGTATCCGCGTCTATCCACGCTGCGCATTACAAAATGTAGCTCCTAGAATCGACTTTCTATTAACTTCGGCATTGAGCAAATAATTCTTAACATTGTTGTTAAGCGAAAATGTGGTGTTATTTCACTCTTTATTACAGAAAAGCTGACGTTTCGACGAATTTCGCTTTCCTCAGATCCTGGAGAGGTATAGCTAACCCCAATCTACCAAGTGAAAGCCCTCCATAAGCAAACAATAAAGCTGTTAAACCAATATTTCAATTATATGGAGCACAGAATGGCTCGTTCGTACACTCACCGCTTTATATGCATCTTCCACTGATTGCCACGTGGAGACCAATCCCACAGGGTCCAAAGGAAAACTTAATGTGCCTCTCACATTGAAACAACAGTCTTAAATACTGTGTGATATCACGCTTTATTATGAGGCACTCCTCCCTACAGTTCGTTTTCGAATTTTTGGTATTTATCCTGCACGCCTCGAGAGTTTTGCGCGCTCTTGTTTTCGATTCTGCGTAAAAGGTTAGCATTCTGATTTAGAGTGCAGCCTAAGCTTAACTGGGTTCAATGCCGATTTGTGCTCCCCAGATCAATCCCGTTGACGGGTGATTGATGATGGTAAGTGATCGATAGAACTAGCTGGGAGACAGACGAAACGAAGGAACCCCATGGTGCGGTGGCGAACATATTAGCCCTGGAAGGGGCAATACTGCGTTCGATCCCCACCGCGGACACCCGCGGTCCGGAGTTTTGCAAATATCTCAGCATCATTGTGATTGCACATCAAGCAACGAAAACTCCTTCTACATTTGCTGGTGGACATTTCTATGGCAAAAAGAAAAGCCAAATAAAAATGAGTACGGGATAAGAAAATCTGCAATATTACAGCAAAACCATAGAGGATTATCCTTAAATGCTCCTGTTTATGGTACTCCCTCCATGAGAATTTGATTTTGTAGAAAGAAGGAATCAACTGGTGGACATGAAAACCATTTAGAACAAATGACATTTAGAGATCTAACACATTCTCATAAACATAATATGCGTCCTTGACAAGTTCGTGGCGCTATCGTTTCGTAATGGATGCTAGCACCACCGTATCCATGAGAAGATTTAATTCAACTACAAGCTGAAAAATACTACTGTAATCGGACAAGAAAAAAGTTCGTACGAGCAGCAGAATGTGGGCGATGGTCGAATTTAGTCTTAAAACTATATCTAAGCGAATATAGTTCGAAAGTGGACTGGTCATCTGATGAGAAGAACAGACGACAGACGGACGAAAAGGACAGTGTTATGGACTCAACGAGCGTTCAAACGCCCTGTGGTACGACCATCTGCAGGAATGGTGGACATGTTTGTGGCTAGTTCAAATCAGCGATTTGTGTGGACAGTTGTAAGTGCTTTGTAAACTATAAGATGACATTCGTAGACGTGTACATACTCGAAGAAGAAAATCACCATGGATGATGATCAGATGAGAAAAGAAGAATTTAGAAAAAGATGAAGCGTTCGGCGTTGATTAATTCATTAGACATCCGTAATCTGTTCGACTCCATTCGTAACGTTATAAAGAAGACTGAATGGATATTTGGCGTAGAGAACGACTTGATGGGGTCTACCGATATATCAACTCAGTGTTTTGCTCGCCTTGACATGTACGGTACCAATTTGCCGACCTGGAAGATGGGGAGGCTAATTTGCCCATGGCACGGTATCAAACTGAAGACGATGTGTGTATTGTACGGCATCTATAGGCAATGCGCTTACACGAGTATGTGGAAACGTGGGTTAATGAAAAACTCACAATTCAAGAACATGAACTACTCAATATACAAGTTAGCAATAATTTTTCAATGTTGATTCTTAACAAATCCTCATGGATTTCTGAAAGTTTGCACCTGTCATGGAAACAAGTGTTTATCGTTACTAAGATCCATAGCTCGTCAGCAAAACTCCCCATCTACATAGAAAAAATCCCTTTAAACTACCATTTTAAAACGCTCTTAAAACGACCAAATAGTCGTCATCGATCGATCCAATCGATCGATATCATCAATAGGTAGGCAAAAAAAAGAGAAACACGAACAAAACTGTCAACAATGGGTCACAACGAATGGTGATAACAGTTGGGCTATGCTATCAGCGCTATCATAAAGTGCAAACGTACCGTTGCTTACCAAACACGGTAAAAAGAAACTGCAAATACTTTAAAAAATAAACAAACATTACAACAGACGTTATATTACGATAGAAGGATAAGTTAAGACCTATTCTGTACTAGAAATACGCGAAAAAATACGTGGAAAAAACTCGAAAATA